AGGATATAGAAAGCATATTACAAAAATCTTTTTTGAAATAAATTTGACAACTTCTAAGAAGTACCTTGGAAGACAAATTAATGAAACTGACTCTGGAAGAAATACAAAATTTGAATAGCACGTATTAAAGAAAGTATAGTCCTAGCTTGGAAACCTACCTATAGGACAACAACAGGGTCATATACATTTTAACTGATAAATTATATCAAACATTCATTGTTCTGTTTTTGTTTTCTGGTGCCGGGAATCGAACTCAGGTCCTTGCACTTGCAAGGCAGGTGGCGGAACCACTGAGCTAAATCTCCGACCCCAATATATCAAGTATTTAAAGCAGAAGAAAGAAAGGAGCTGGGGATTTAGCTCAGCAGTTTTGCCACCTGCTGCACAAGCGCAAGAACCTGAGTTCGATCCCCGATACCACAAAAAAAAAAAAGAACACTTCTCCCCTCATTTTAGGAAATCAACATTGTGCTAACCCTAAAACTGGATAACAGTAATAGAAGAAAAAAGTATGAACATAGATAGAAATTGTTTAACAAAGCAAACTATTAGAAGTCAGATCTGGCAGGATGTAGAAAGCGGTTTTGTTATAGGAGTAGGATCCAAATTCTAATGGAAGTGGAGAAAGTGCTACTTCTAACTGAAAATTCACTTGCTCTACCCCTAAGCCTGGGAATTTAGGAAATGAGGATTTACAGAGATTATGTTTCAGTAGAAGCACCCTGTCCCTTCACAAGCCTTTTCTTTTTTGGGGGGGCGGGTACCGGGGATCAAACTCGGGTCCTTGCGCTTGCGCAGCAGGCGGCGAAACCGCTGAGCTAAATCCCCGGCTCACAAGCCTTTTCTAAGACTTGAATGCTATCCTTTGTGTTCCGTTCTCCATCCCCTCCAACCTCACTAAATGCAAGTCCTAGATGAATTGTAGGGCCAGACCTGTTTTTATGAATCCTCAGTGCCCTGACCAGGAACTTTTCCCTCTTAGAAGTTCGATACTATTGTATTTATATGTCATCTGTGGCACTCTACTGTTTGCCTTTACTATTCATGTGTCTCCTTTGCACCCCACTGTGCGCAGGGCTCTCGGAGGACAGACTGGTTCAATTTTGTCAGGTGGATCCAATGATAGATTACTATTCATCCAATGTAATGGGTAAAATCATTCTCTGAATTGCCACAGGGATATGAACCATATTATCTATTTAACTTCTGTAGTAGTCCCTAGGGTTTCCACCAACCAAGGAAGGAATGAAACAAAGCTATGAAAAAAAAAGAATTGTTTTTCCTTTTATCCTATATTAGTATATTAGTATTAGTATGTTTAAAAATTAAGATATAATTTACATATCCCTAAATTCACCCTTTTAAAATAGACAGTTGGGGGCTGGGGATGTAGCTGAGGGCACAGAGCCTGCCTGTCAGTGTGAGGTCCTGAGTTCAAGGCATGCTGGGGCTGGCGAGCGGCCTCCTCCTGCTCGGCTTCCTCTTCGGGTGCTTTATGAAGTCTTCTAATGCAGCTACCAGTAATGTCCCACAGCGTGGCATGCAGAAAGCATTTTTGAATGAGCTGAAAGCTGAGAACATCAAGGAATTCCTATAGAACAGAACAAAACTTTCAGCTTGCCAAGCAAATTCAATCCCAGTGGAAAGAATTTGGCCTGGATTCTGTTGAGTTAGCCCATTGTGATGTCCTGTTGTCCTACCCAAACGAGACGCATCCCAACTGCATCTCAATAATCACTGAAGGTGGACATGAGATTTTCAACACAGCATTGTTTGAACCACCTCCTCCAGGGTATGAAAATGTCTCCGATATTGTACCACCTTTCAGCACCTTCTCTGCACAAGGAGTGCCAGAGGACAATCTCTGGTACCAAAAAAAAAAAAAAAAAAATATATATATATATATATATATATAGAAATATATTATAAATTTACCAAAAAATATATATACAGTGGTTTCTGTTATTTACAAGGTTGTGTAATCATTATCACTAGCTCATTGCAGAATATACTCGTTACTCAGATGGAAACTCCATACCCATTATTCTCATTCTCTGTACCCCCTGGCAAAGATGAATCTACCTTCTGTCTCTATGATTTTACCTCTTCTGGACATTCTATAAACATAGGGTCATGTAATATGATTTGTGTGAGCTTCTTCCACTCAGCATACAATTTTCAAGGTTCATTCATGTCGCAGCATATAACCTTACTTCATTCTGTTTTGGCTGAATAATATTCCATGGTATGGGTAGACCACATTTTGTTTATCCATTCATTAGTTGGTAGGCATTTGGGTTATTTCTACTTTTTGGTTATTGTAATCAACGCTTCCATTAACATTTGGGTACAAGTTTTTGCAGGGCCTATGTTTTCAATTTCTTTATCTAGGAGTAGGATTATTGAGTTTTAAGCTAATTTTGTGCTTAACTCTTTGTGGTATGCTAAGTAATGGTCCCACAAAATGTCTGTATCTCCTGATCTCCAGAACCTGTGACTTGCTGTACGACAAAAGGGTCTTTGAAGATGTGATTGAGTTAAGAATCTTGAGATGGGGAGATTTTCCCGGATTATTTGGGTGGGCTTGACATGACCACAGCCATTTTTGTAAGGATGAAGGAGGAATCAAAGCAGAAAGAGAGGTGACATGCTTTCGAAATGGAGGAGGGAGGGGTCTCACAAGCCCAGGAATACAGGTGACCCTGCTTGCTAGAAGCTGAAAGGGGAAGGAAATGGATTCCTTCTTACACCTTGACTTCAGCCCAGTGAAACTGATTCCGAACTTCTGAGACTATCTGGACAGCAAGAGATTAAGTTTATGTTGTTTTAAGCCACTACTATGGTAATCTTTGCAGGAACAGAAAAACTAATATGCTGCCAAACTACCTTCCAAAGCGGCGGCACTGTTGTACACTTTCACGTTAACCGAACGTTACTGTCTGTTTTAAAAATTATGGCCCTCTAGTGGTCACAGAGAGATATGTTGTGATTTTTGAACTGTTTCTGACCGTGAAAGCGCGGGCTTCCCTGTGCTTGCTGGCTCTTTGTATGCTTTCTTTGGAGAAATGTCTATTCAAACTCTACCCCCATTTTCTAGATAAAGCAAATTTTTTTTTGGCAGACCATGGAATGAACCCAGGGCCTGGGGGGTGAACACTAAGCTAAATCCTCAACCCTTTTTTAATTTTTGAGACAGTATCTTGCTAAGTTCACCAGGCTAGGCTGGAACTTGCAATTCTCCTGCCTCAGCTTCCCAGAGTGCTGAGATTATAGGATTGCACCACCATGGCCAGCAAATAATTTGTCTTTTTATTGAGTTATAGGAGTTCTTTCTGTATTCTGGATACTAGACCAATTGTCTAACACAAAGATTTATGCCTGTGTTTCCTCCTAAGAATTTTATAACTTTAGCTTTTATGTTTAGATCTTTGATCCATTTTGAGTGAATTTTCATAAATGATGTGAAAAGAAATTCAACTTCATTCTTTTGCCTGTGATAGCTACCTGTCCTAGCACCGTTTTTTGAAAGGCTGCGTTCTCTATCCACTGCCGAGTCTTAGCACCCTTGTCAAAAAAGTCAGTTGAGGCCTTGGGCTCCGGGCGCTGCCCTTGCTGGCTGTGCGTCGGGGCGCAGGGGCTGGCGAGCGGCCTCCTCCTGCTCGGCTTCCTCTTCGGGTGCTTTATGACGTCTTCTAATGCAGCTACCAGTAGTGTCCCACAGTGTGGCATGAAGAAGGCATTTTTGGATGAGCTGAAAGCTGAGAACATCAAGGAATTCCTATAGAACAGAACAAAACTTTCAGCTTGCCAAGCAAATTCAATCCCAGTGGAAAGAATTTGGCCTGGATTCTGTTGAGTTAGCCCATTGTGATGTCCTGTTGTCCTACCCAAACGAGACGCATCCCAACTGCATCTCAATAATCACTGAAGGTGGACATGAGATTTTCAACACAGCATTGTTTGAACCACCTCCTCCAGGGTATGAAAATGTCTCCGATATTGTACCACCTTTCAGCACCTTCTCTGCATAAGGAATGCCAGAGTTCAAGATACAGTAGCTAAAAATATTCCTGCCAGGTGTGATGGTACAAGCCTATAATAACGTCACATGGAAGCCAAGGCTGGAAGGTTGCCGTGAGTTGGAGGGCAGCCTGGGCTACACAGTGAGTTCAAAGCCAGCCTGGACTACATAGAGAGACTCTGTATCTGAACAACAAACAAACAATTTCTTTTACAGAATCGAAGATTCAAATCTCATTTTTGGAATGTTTCCTTCTTAATTAAAAAATTAACACCAACTCAAAAAAAAAAAAAAAAAGAAAATCAATTGAGCCGGGTGTGGTGGTGCATGCCTGTATTCCTAGCACTCAGGAGGCTGAGGCAGAAGTGCCTCAAGTTCGAGGCCAGCCTGAACTACATAGGGAGACCCTGTCTCAAGCAAAAAACAAAACAAAAAAATCAATTGACCGTAACTGTGAGGGTTTATCTGTGGACTCTCAATTCTCTTTCATCGATCTCAATGTTTCTTTGTCAGTGCAACAGAGATTGATAGCCACAGATGTGTAGTAGGCTTTGAAATGGGAAATTGTGAGCCCTCCATCTTTGTTCTTTCCAATATTGTTTTGGCTCTTCTAGATCCTTGTATTTCCCTGTGAATTTTATTTTTATCTTTGGGGGGCAGGGTACTGGAAATTGAACCCAAGGCCTTCACACTAAGTTACATCCTTCACCCTTTCATTTTTTTTTTTTTTTAATTTTGATGCAGGGTCTCACTAAGTCGCTAAGTTTCCTAGGCTGTGCTCAAACGTGAAATCCTCCTGCCTCAGCCTCCCAGAGTGCTGGGATTATAGGCATACACCACCACACTCAGCTTCTGGAAGCAAGTCAATTTCTTCAGTAAAGGCACCTTAGATCTTGATGATGATTGAATTGAATCTGTACAGAAATTTGTAGACTATTGCCATGTCAACAGTGTTAAGTGGACGTAGGGTTTATTTTATTGCACTGCTACAGGTTGAAACCAGGAATGCTCTACTACTAAACTATACCCCCAGCCCTTTTAAATTTTAAGGCAGGCCCTTGCTAAATTGCCCAGACTGTGCTGGAACTTGCAATCCTCCCAGAATGCTGGGATTATGGGTGTATGTCACCATACCCAGTTTACAATTTATTTGTAACCCTAGCATGTTCTCACTGCATAGGATGAAAAGGTGGTAGGAATCTAGTGATGATAGGAATTATTTCTTCCCTGCCAGGAGAGGGAGGGAACCAGAAAGGGCAGTGAAAAGAATTACAATGTGTTATCATCCCCATGATGAATGTATTCACTATTTACTGCAAACATGTATTAGTAAAAATCTTAAAAATAAATTTTAAAAAAATTACTCGTTCCCTAAACATAGGAAGTGTTACACTGTGGTCTCTAAACTGTGGATCACTGGATAGTCTTCCCTCCCCTAATACAGACCAGTATGTACAATGGGGGATCCTGCTGCAGCCAAACTTTTCATCAGATGAATGGGTAGACTAAGTGATGCTTTTCCTTCCTTTTGGCAGAGACTCTGACCTGAATGTGTTTCTCCTTGCAGGTCAGTCTGACACTGGATGAAATAATCAAAGGTGTGAATAGCTCAGATCTGGCTGTATGCTTCCAGGCCACCCAGGCAATCAGGTATCACTAAGCCAACTTCTGCTCTTTGAAGGCTTATAGCCAGAAATGAGCTGCAGAGGCCTGTTTAGTTTCTTGGCATTGGCCAAATTCCCATAAAATATAGGAAAAGGCTAGTCCATCCACAAGTAAGACTAGATTGCTACCCTACACTGTCCTTGAGGGCAACCTAAAAGATGCAGTGTGTTGTCAGAGATGAATTGCATAATTTATACTGGCCTGTACAGGAATTTGAGCTCATAGATAGTACCTGAAGGGCAAAATGTTCCTTTATTGCTGCAAAGTGCTACAGGCAGGGCAAGGGTGTTAAGTAGTTTTGGCCTAGCTGTTTGTCTCATCTGATAGGAGGTTCTTATCGCTTTCCCCACGTGACTGTTTCCACCCTCTTTCACTGCACAGGAAAATGCTGTCCCGGGAAAGGAATCCTCCTCTCAAAGTGATTGTTGAATCCAGGGTCATCCCCAGGATAGTGGAGTTCCTGAAGTCATCCCATCACCCCTGTTTGCAGTTCGAGGCAGCCTGGGCTCTGACCAACATTGCTTCAGGGACTTCAGCAGAGACCCAAGCAGTTGTGAAGGGGGGCGCCATTCCACCCCTTGCTGAGCTCCTGTCTTCCCCCAATATGACTGTGTGTGAGCAGGCAGTGTGGGCACTCGGCAACATAGCTGGTGAGACTCTCCCCTTGGTGGGTACGAAAGCAGTGGGCCAGGCATGCAGGGTGCTAGGGGAGTTCTTGGGGAGGTATGGGGTACTCAATATTCTGGAGCCCATCTCAGTATAAATACCTTGCAGTGCTGGGAAGGGTACAATGAGCTATTTCAAAATTCAGAGCCAAGTTCAGAGACCAAAAATTGAAACTGAAATTCTGTGATGCAGCGCATACTAAATCAACAGGCTGCCTAGGTACATCTGCCAGTACCAGAGTCCTAAAGTCTCAGGTCTTCATGGCTTTGGGAACAAAAGACAAGTCTTTGGCACATGCAGGAAAAGGGGTGAGGACAGATCCTTACATACTCCAGGACCCTAAAAGGACAGACACCTCCCTGAAAGTACTAAGGGAACATACAAAAAAAGCCTCCTGAGCTTGGGACTAAAAGGCTTTCCTGAAAATGCAACCCTAACCCTCCCTGGAGGTCAGGGAGAACACAAGTGAGGAGGTAAGTGCTGCAGGGCTGGAAGCCCCCAGATTCCTGGATGGAGTAAATCCTAATGCTCTCTGGAGGGGAAAAATACTCAATTCAGTCCCTCAGGATTTTGACAAATTAAGATCAGCTAGATATTAGCAATTTCAAGTTCAGAGAAGCAGCAACTTACCATGACTGAGTCAGCTCAAACACAAGTATGATTAGATCTCTGAGGACTTCAGCTATTGGAATTAGCGAACAGAATATAAAATAACTGCATTTATAAAAGCTTGCAGAAGTAGTGCATCTATTACAGAGATGTTGTCTCTCATTTTGCTTGGTTCAATAAGGGAAAGGCGAGATGGGCAAGTATAACATGACTTACACACTGCCTTGCTGGCTGAAGAATGCCAAATGAGACTTATTTCTAGGGCATTAAGGAGGTATACTAGCTGAAGTTATCGATGGTCAATCGCCAGTCCCTATTGATCCCCAGATTTTGTTCTGAACTGCACTTCGAAGTTCCTGTCCCCGGCCAGAGTCTTCTGGGAAGACAGCCTGTCTGCACTGGACTTGGGCTTCCTGAGAACCACGCTGTGAAATGCCGCCAGCATTTATAGTGTGCCACCTGGGCTGAGTCAGCCGTCTCCTTTGTGTATCCATAGCTTCTGCTTATAGCAGCCATGGCTGTGTGGCACCTGCTTGTCACATCAGAAATGTCCACCCAACAGATACTGTGGAGACTCAGGATCTAGTACATGGCTCTGTTTACTTGCTAAAACCCCAAGAATGAGTTTTGCATAAACTTTTTTTTTTTGGTACCAGAGATCGAACTCAGGACCTTGCACTTGCAAGGCAGGCGGCAGAACCACTGAGCTAAATCCCAGGCTGCATAAACTTTTTTAAAAAGTTACTCACCCACTTAGATATTCTCTTTGTTCTGAGTGTCATGTTCTGACCTATTTGCAGGTGATGGCCCAGAATTCAGAGATGTTGTTATCTCCAGCAATGTCATCCCACGTCTGACAGCCCTGGTTTCATCAACCACATCAGTGAGTATCTTTAAATTAGAAAAGCTAGCTAGGTAACAAATTCTCAAAGCTGGAAATTCTCAAATGCTCCCAAATTCTCAAATGCTTCCAAATCAATGCTAGATCATGTGGCTGCTACCTGGCCCGTTACAATAAAGGTATAGGATAGGGTATCATTTTGGGTAAAGATTGACCCAAATTTGTCCTTATGGGCCAGTAGCACTAATCTTTCTCCTGAGGGTATTACCATAAGTCCATTAAAATTTTTCAAGGCTTGCTATCCTGCCAACATGGATCTCTATCCAAAGGGCAAAGACAGACATAATGGCTTTCTAGTTCTGTTCCTGAGAAATAGGGTCTAGGTTTGAAGCTTAGATGATAAATGATGAGGTAACACTACAAGACACCCTGGTTTAGGAATTGGGTTCTAGATTTGCCTAAAAAAAAAAAAAATGAAGAGAAGCCAAGGGAATAAATGCCAAACCCTCAAGGTGGGAGAACACCAGGCATGCTTGAACCAGAAAAGGGCTAACCAAGACCAAGGGTGTTTGTGAGGAGAGAGAAGTATGTGGTGGGAAGAAGGACAAAGATATCATCCTGGTGGCAAAGGGAGCCTTTGGAGGATGTCCAGCAGGAAGTGAGGTGGTTTTCTGGCTGCCTGTGGTAGGGTTATAGCAGAAGGAGCTAGTGGGCATGTGCACTGGAAGGCTGCTGTGCCAGACAGGGAAGGGAATGAAGTAAGGATGCTGCCAGGTTTCACAATAGGTTGTGTAGATGACACTCCTCCTAGAAAAAGAGAGGGACGGAGGAAAAAGGGAATCAAATCTTCCTTTACAAAGGCTGAGGTTCTTTAGAGGGACCATGACAGAAATGGCAGGTTGACAGCTCTGCCAATCCAGATTACTGTAATGTTCATGGGTCATCCAGCTGAGCAAGGTCAGCTAGAGCAAGGGTCAGCAAACTGAACCTGACCAGCTACTTGTTTTGTAAATAACATGTTATTGGAGCATAGTCACACCTATTTATTTACCTAGCATCTGTGGCCATCACTGTGTTATGGATAGTTACAGCAAGAGACCATATGGGTCACAGGGCTGAAAATATTTACCAGGCATTCGCCAGTCCCTGACCTACAGTGGGAGAAGGGCCAGGACAAAGTCCTAGGGGCTGTAACGTTAAGAGGTCAGGCAGAGTGTACCAAGAAGATGAAGAAGAAACAGCTCATACAGCAATAGAAAACCAGGTCTTGTATGACAGCCAAGAAAAGAGAGAGTGGCTGGCTGCTCAGTACAGCTGGGAATGACAATAGTTTTAGAACTGAGAAGCAACTGCTGGATCAGGGGACTTGGAAGGAACTGGTGTCCGTCCCTAAATACAAGGAAGCAGGGGCAGACACCAGGTGAAGAGGGCTTGAAGAACGACTGGGAAACTGGGGGTAGACAGTGCACAAAGGTGCTTCCTTAAAGCCAGGCACCATGGTGAATATTTGTAACCCTAACACTGAGAAAGGTTGAGGCAGGAGGATTGCAAGCTCAAGTTCTACCTGGGCAACTTAGCAAAACCCCTCAAGATCAGTGATGGCAAGGCTTTTAGAGCTTTCAATGATAACCAGCAGCCCAGTGCGGCACATGTGCCATAGGATTGCCACCACAGATCTAGATGATAGAGATGGAGACTATAGATGTGAGACAGAGGGGGAAGGGAAGAGGAGGGAGAGAGGCAGGGAGGGAGGGAGAAGGGGGAGATCAAATGAACGAACGAACAAATGAACTAGGCGGCTGGGGATGTAGCTCAGTGGTTTCGTCGCTTGCCTTGCAAGCTCAAGGACCCGAGTTCGATCCCTGGTACCAAAAAACAAACAAATAAGTGAACTAGGGATATAGCTCAGTGGTACAGCATCTGTGGGTTAAATCCCCAGTACTGCCGGGGAGATAGTGACAGAGATCAAGGGGCAGAGACAGATAGAAAGAGAAACAGACAGAGACACAGATACAGGGAAACAGATGAAGAGAGAGAGAGAGAGAGAGAGAGAGAGAAGAGAGACAGAAGATAGAGGAGAGAGAGAGGAGAGAGAGAGATCAAATGAATGAACAAACAAATGAACTAGGGATGTAGCTCAGTAGTACAGCATCTGTGGGTTTAATCCCTGGTACGGCCGGGGAGACGGGGCAAAGAGACTGAGGTGCAGAGAGACAGAGGCAGAGAGAAAGAGAAACAGAGGCAGACACATACAGAGCAAGAGGCGAGGGGAGAGAGATATGGACTAAAGACCAGAGACAGAACTGGGGTGGCGTCTGGAGAGGTGTCAAGGCAATGGCAGAAGGGGCTGAAGGTCCCAGAGTGCGTCTCCATACTCAGGGGAGTGATGGGGGACATATCAGCCTAGGGGCAGAGTCCCTGAGGGCCTAAAGTGACAGGCCCAGGGGAGGGTCGCAAGGTTGATTCTTAAATAGAAGATCAGAAATATGATTAGGACATGTTGATAGATTATAGACTGGCGAAAAGACCAAGTTGCTCCTGCTCAATCTTTTTGTTAATGAGAAAATGAAATCAGGTCATCAATCAAGTAGAGTAGGAAAAGACATTCTGAAGAATAAAAAAGCCTCCATCTGACATTTGAATATGAAATTTAAAGCTCATTCTCTTTGTCCCCAATACACATCACTGCCCAGAACAAGTTTCTATTTGAAGCCGAAAAACTTTGGTTCATGCTGATCAATAATATTGATTTAAAAAAAAGATAATAAAAAAAAATAACATTGATCAGGGATAGGAAGGGCACACTGCCATTTGCATCTTCTTTCCAACTAATGCTGGAAACCCTCTTCTTGTTTTAGATCACATGTCTACGGAATGTCACGTGGACCTTGTCCAACCTGTGCCGAAGCAAGGACCCATACCCTTGCAAGGAGGCAGTGAGGCAGATACTGCCTGTCCTGTCCCACCTCCTCCAACACCAGGACAGTGAGATTCTCTCAGACACCTGCTGGGCCCTGTCCTACCTCACGGATGCCTGCAGTGAGCGCATCGCCCTGGTGCTTGACACAGGGGTCCTGCCCAGGCTGGTGGAGCTCCTGACCAGTGTGGAACTCAGTGTTTTGGTAAATATCATCCTGGTCCTATCTGTCTCTGAGGCCCTTCAGATTAGTCTGTGTGTCAGATCCACCTCACCAGGTTCTGTCTCCAACTCTAGGGCTTCATAGTTGGCGCCCATCCTTTACCTGAAAAAGAATTTATCATCTGCGTTCCCCTGGTCTTTCCACTTTTTTGGCCAAGGACTCAAATCTATTTTAATCAAAATGCCTAGTGGGTGTTAAATAACGTATTCTTAATCCGATGACCAAAAATATAGAAAAGTATCAAGTGGAAGTTGCTTGTAATCCTACTACTCAGGGAACTGCTCTTAATCTTTTCCTTTTAGTAGTCTATGCATGTGGACTTAAACGAACTGGATAATGCACATGCGTGTGTGTGTGTGTGTGTGTGTGTGGCTCATTATACCGTTGGAATTTCTTACACCATATAGAAGAAAATTTCCCCTTACTCTTTTCAGTGTGTTCTTAGATTACTGAGATACAGGCAAAAAGCAAGTAAGACCATTATTAAGCAAGTAAAATCATTATACAACACTTTGCTAGGTTATTAAACATAATACCAGCTATCTACTGTACTATATAGTACAGTCTCTGTCTCTCACTTGAGTAGCAGGAATGTAGCCTAAGAGGCTAGGAACACTAGAGTTGTGGGTGGGCTTCTCCAGGGGCTGCCACTATGGTACAGAGAAACCTAAATAAATCCACAGTAGGTCCTCCCAGGAGAGTTGCTGTCTTAAGCCAACTTGAACCTTATCCTGGTGACCTTCAGAGTTACTGTGAGTGGTTTGTGAATGTACCAAGAAAGAGCACTGGGGCCTCATCAGTTCCAGTTAAATATACAAAGAAGCTTGACGCTACTGCTAAGTACACATTCAGTAGAAGTTATGACATGATAGACACTATAATCAACTTAGCTTTTCCCCAGTTGAAACCATGTAATAAGGACAGAAGCAGTTGTTTTCATTTTGTTTTTGTTGTTTTGTTTGGTTTGAGACAGAGTCTCACTATATAGCCCAGACTGGCCTCAAATTCAAGATCCTCCTGCCTCAGCCTCTCAATTGCTGGGATGACAGGCCTGTGCCATCACACCCAGCTTATTTCCTGATGAAGTTATCCCTTGTCCTCTATCACCTGAGCCAGAACTTTTGGGAAGCTGGCAAGTACCTTGACGCAAGTACTAGGAATTGGGTGTGTTGACTCAATAAAGGTCATGGCTAAGATAAAATACTGTGGTATTTTAGGGTTCCAGAAAACAAGAGCACAGCACAACTGATGCTGAACAGGGCACAGAACCAGGTGCGATTTCCACCTGCTACTGTGATAGATCTGTGATACCGAGTTAGACTTCTGTGTTCTTCCAGACCCCTTCTCTCCGCACAGTGGGGAACATTGTCACAGGAACGGATCACCAGACCCAGATGGCCATTGATGCAGGCATGCTGAAGGTGCTGCCCCAGCTCCTACAACACCCCAAGTCCTCCATCCAGAAGGAGGCAACCTGGGCCCTGAGCAACGTGGCCGCTGGGCCCCAGCAGCACATCCAGGAGCTCATCACTCATAATTTGCTGCTTCCTTTGGTGGCTCTGCTCAGAAATGTAAGTGGCACGTTCCTTCAACCAACAGACGGCTAACTTCCTATGGCCCTGAATTCCTTCAGGAATTTAGACACAGGCTAAGAAGCAAATTCATGGAGATCACAAGAAAGCTCTGAAACCTCAGGTCCCTGACTCCGCCTAGGAACCCTAAGTGACCCTCCTTTCCAAAGAACTCATTGAGAAGCATTGTTCATTGAAAAGGCAATCCCACAGCTCAAGCATCCGGAAAAACCCTGAGCTGTGAGATATTGGCTCATCTCTACGGGGTGGTCAAAGAATGTGCCATCTATTCTCTACCTATCAAAAGAGGAAGGAGATTTTGTTTTGTGGTAGTAGGAAAAACTTACCAGGCCACCATGATGTCATACAATGGAAAAAATAGTGACCTTTTCAGTGCACAAATGAAATTGATTAAAGTGATAATCTAAATGAAAAATTCAAATGGGAAAGTAAAATAAAGCTTCCTTCCTCCTCCTGATACCCACTTCCTTTTCCCAGGAGTAATTACTGTCATCAGTATTTTCTTTTGCCACTTTTGAATGAAGGAGCTACCATCAAACCATCTTCAGTCATGGACAGTCACCTTGGGCTGAGGCTGGGGGGCAAGCAGTATGCCCCAGGGAAGAGAAGCTACTGGCTTCTCTGTTCTGAGGTTGGATGTCAGGTTTCCAGGTGTAACTGAGGTAGAAAAAGCAGGACAGGTGTGCAGCACAAATCATGCCATCTTCCAATCACTTCAGCACTTTCCAGCCTATATCCTACTCTGAGCCCGTATTTGTTCTAATAAGGAATATCCAGTTATAAATCAAGTAGTATTCATATTTCAAACCATGTCTTTTGAACTAGAACTTGACTGGGGCCATAAAGCTTTTGTTTTTGTCTTTGTTCTACCCTAAGGCCAATTTTCCCCAGCCATACAATAAGTCCTTCTGCCCAGGAATAAGAGGACCCATGATAAAATACGCCCACATATCTGGGCCAAGTAAGTGCTCTTTACAAATGTAAAGGATTCATTGAACAATATTTCAGTGGCCTTTCTCTGTTATCTCTGGGCTGGCTCAGTCTCGTAGATCACATCTATGCCCTGATATATAACTTATCCAAAATTTTACTGTATCAGATTAGAAATATAGATACAGGCCACTGTCTTCTAAAATTCCAAGTATAATTCCTACTCTGTATAGATTAGATCGGTTTATGTTAGTTATGTTTTCCCCATGGGCTGAAATAGGGAAATGAGTCTACTTGATCTCAGAACCTCTAAGCATCCACTGTCTGCTTCACTGGTTCCATGGCTTCTCAGATGCTGTCTTCCTATCTGGAAGGCGGACAGCCAAGGCATTCTATAGAAATTGCCTGTAGAGTCCTACCTCAAAAGTGAGTCAAGTCAGCACACTTTCAGGTGCTTCAGGATCTTTAGTGAAGGTAAACACTGTGTCTCCACAGGGAGAATACAAAGTCCAGAAAGAAGCTGTCTGGACAGTGGCTAACTTCGCAACGGGGGCCTCCTCAGACCAGTTGTTCCAGCTTGTTCACTTTGGAGTCCTGGGGCCCCTGTTGAATCTGCTCACTGTCCCAGATGTGAAGATCATCCTCATCATCCTCAGTATCATCTCTTATGTCCTCCAGGTGAGCTGTTGTCAGTAGGTTGGTTTGTAAATAGCAGTCTGTAATTTAAGACATGGATCTTGAAACCCAGGTAGTATTCTGCTTCCTCTTCATTCCCCTCACCCGCTCTTCTGTCCTCATGTCTTGTGGGCAGTACGAAGAGAGGCATCTCACAGAAAGATTGCTGCCTTCATTTTCTCAAGTGAGGTCTCAGTGTCAGGCATATTTCTGCATGCTCAGAATAGTCCAGCGCAAAGTTTTTATTCTAGTGGGCTTTATGTGTTAGTGGGTTGGGGAAAGACACATCAGGGAGGGGGAGTACTGGATAAAGTAAATCAGATAAAAGGTAGTCGCTAGTCAGGCATGGTGATGAACACATATAATCCCAGCACTCTGGAAGGCTGAGCCAGGAGGATTGCAAATTTGAGCCCAGCCTGGGTAACTTAGCAACTTAGTGCGACCTTGTCTCAAAATAAAAAATAAAAAGGACTGAGGGTGTAGCATTGTGCAAAGGCCCTGGATTTGATCCTTAATAATGAGCAAAAGGGCCAGGGATATAGCTCAGTGGTTCTGCCGCCTGCCTCGCAAGCACGAGGATCCGAGTTTGATCCCTGGTACCAAAAAAAAAAAAAAAAGAGCAAAAAAGAGGGAGTCACTAATTATTCAGGGTGGGGAGCAGACATGACAGTGTATATGCAGTAGTCAGGAGAAGGACTTTCTCTGAAGAGGAACAGCTGAGCAGAGATCTGAAAGAGTGAGTCTTTTTTTTTTTTTTTTTTTTGGTGATGGTACTGAGGATCGAAACTCCCCAGCTCTCTTCTTAGTGTTATTGTTTTGTTTTGTTTTCAATTTTAGAACAGGGTCTCAGTAAGCTGCTAAACTGCCAAGTTGCCCAGGCAGGACTGAAACTTGTGATCCTCCTGCCCCAGCCTCCCAGAGTGCTGGGCTTTCAGGTGTGTGCCAGCACGCCAGTTGAGAGAGTGAGTCTTGTGGCTACCTGGAGAAGAACATTCTAGACAAAAGGACTAGCAAAAGGGTGGTGCTGTCAGAGCAAAGTGGTGGGAGATCAGGCCGAAGGTGGCCAGAGGCCAGGGGCCATAGGGTCTGTGAGGAGGCTGACTTGTTCTGAGTGAGGCAGAGGAACCGATAGAGGGGTTAAGGAGGACAAGAGTCAGTGGGCCCCTGACGCTTCCAAACAGTGCACGTTGGGAAGGCTGAAACACAGGAGATCTGTGAAGGAGCAGCAAGAGGTTAGCAGGGGTCCCTCTTGTGGAGCCATAGGAAAGTTCCAGCTCCATTCAGCTCTGTTACTGGAGAAAAGGGCTACATAGCACTGAACTAGAATTCTAGAAAAGCCTTAGTTCTGAAATAAAGTTAAACTAATATTCAGACACTATTTCTGTGAGGTCTTTATGGCTGCATAGGAAATTGTCTCTTAGTGACTTAAAACAAACACGCATCTTAGTTTCTGGGGCCAGGAGTCTGAAGCTGTGCATCTGGGTGCTGATGACTGAGCAGCTTCCAAGGGTTTCACGTCCCCCTGCCCACATGGAGCCCTCCAAGGGCTGCCTGAGCATGCTCACGGCACGCCAGTCTCCTCCACTGGAGCAAACCATCTAAAGAAAGCCAGGTCTTTTATGACCTGGCCTGGGAGTTCACACAGTCATTTTGGCAGCACCCTGTGGCTTACACAGGTTGGTCCTATTCAGTTTAAGGGGAAACTACACCAAGGCATGAGTACCTGGAGTCAGGGATCGTCAGGGGCTGTCTTGGAGGCTGGCTGTGTTCATTTGATTAAGCTCCTTTTACATGCAGCCAACCCGTTTGACAAACTTAAAAGTGTCAGAGAATTCCCTTTAAAAGCCTACTTTGAACACTCTTTCCATGTAGCCATCTTGGAAAGAACAGACCTGATTTGAAACTCAGCCTAGTTACAGCCTGAGGCTTTGAGCAAAAGACACCGGTACAAGATGGAGACTCAGCAGCTAACAAACGGGGTGGGACATGACAAGTTTGTGAAAACAAGGGTGGAAATGGATAGAAATGTAACTTCACCTGTGTCACTTGAATTAGAGTTGGGATTTTTGTTTTGGGAAAGACAGAACGTCACACTGGATGATCCAGTGATGCTCCTATATCAGTGATGGCAAACCTTTTACAGCTTTCAATGATGCAAACAGCCCTCTGTGGCACGTGTGCCATAGGTTTACCACCACTGCTCAGTGGAGGGAGGAAGATCAGGATGGTGCTGCAGAAAGCTCCAAGTGAGCAGCAGAGTGCCACTGAAGTTCTGTCAAGCAACTTCTGGGTCACTTGCTATTCTATGAAAATCCAAACCCTTCTTCAGGGCTCTGACCACCCGGGCTTATCCCCCAATTCCTAGCTTTCTTTGTGAGGCTGACCGAGGCCCTTGATTCTGGCCTTGGTTTCTTTACTCTAGGCCAATGACTCATTTTGAAAAAACAGATGGGACTAGAAGATACCAAGGCTTAGATGTGCAGCTCAAACTTTCACCATTGATTCAAGCTAAACAGTGTGGCTTAGATCATGTTTAACTTGATCTAGAGGACTTTTGTTACTGCACACAGAAATAACAAAACCCTTCAGGTATGGTGCCATAGTGATGCTGTAGTACTTTCTTTCTTTCCATGTCCCCCAGTTCCGCTGTTTTAGCTGAACTACTCTCTTAAAATATACCACGCTTCCTTCTTCAAACCTTCATCCTTAGTGTCCCTTCTTTTTGGAAAGCCGCTATCCTGCTCTGGCAGGTACCCTTCACTAAGGACCTGTGAGACCTTCAAGCCTGCCCCTGCATCTTCTGTAACTTCCCCTCTGATAGTTTTACTGTATGTTATTTTTAAACTATACCATTGCAATTATTTACTCGTTGTTCCTAATAGTTTGAGTTATGAACAGACTTTCTCTAAGTCACATCTGCCCCTCTAGCTCTGAGTGTCTTGCCCATAGAATGTGGACAAACATTTGAGTGAATAAATAGCCCCTGATAATTCAGCCAGTGATCCACAGTGGATTAAACCCACTCACGTTGTTTGTTCCCAGGACTCTGTTCTTTGTCATTGTGCAGCTTCTGTGACTAAAGTCTCCTGACTTAGCTCCTAAGGCTTTCCAGAGAGGGCAGGACAGAATGCCTGCATTTCCAGAATGTTACTCATTCTTCTGAACTGCATTTAAAACAACTTCCATGAATCAGGGGGGAGAATCTGCTAAATAGCAGTAGAGATGTGTATATTGGTGGGTGGTAATATAGTCAGCCCAAAAAATGCTTTATAAGCTTGTAGTCCAGAAACACTGTATTTTGTGTAATAAATATGGACACATTTTTATATAAACATTTTTGTTTTATAAGCCCCCACTGCCCCAGGAGCCTTGAGTCTGAACACCCTGGGGCCCACTCCCATGAGGGCTGCTGGAGGTTCTGCCTCCCCAGGCACTGCCCAGGGCCTCATGGTCTCTCGCATGGCTCCCAGGCTTCGCAGAAGCTGAGTGATAAGAAAAGCTTGTGTCTTCTGTTGGAAGAACTTGGTGGGATGGATAGAATCGAGGCTTTACAACTTCACGAGAACTGTCAGATTAGCTGGGCTGCTCTGAAAATCATCGAGAACCACTTTGGTGAGGTAAGTGATTTGCCACTGAAGAGAAGTGGCCATACCAGCTAGGGGCCACCTCTGCAGGGGACCATCCCATCGGGGCCTCTGCCGGGACCCTGGTCTCCTGGCCTCCTCGGAATCGAGCTGGGCGTCCCGGCCATCCTGGCTGACTGGGCAGCCGCTGAGTGTGGAAGCTGTCTAGTCTCATGGGTGTGTGACTGGGACTCTGCCTGAAACTGTGCTCTGTGGGCCTCCTGGGGAGGGTGGGGAGGGAGAAGTATCACATTAAAGCGGCTTTCTACCCGAGAGGGCACACAACGAAGGCCGCCCCAGCTTTTGAAAACCATTGTGCCACTTTATACATTTTCTTTCTTCCCAGAATGCAGTGTTTGGGGTTGAATTCTACAAAGTTTTCTTGATTTCTCTGCAAGGGGAGGGAAACATGATCAGATAGCATTAGATGCTTTTGAAAAACTTTTTGGTGGTAAAAATCTCTCTCTCCCTATCTATCTATCTATCTATCTATCTATCTAAAGATTTTTACTTTAACTGTGTGTGTGCGTGTGTGTGTGTGTGTGTGTGTGTGTGTGTGAGACTGGGGATTGAACCCAGGGCCTCTGCACTGAGCTGCATCCCTGGCTCTTTATTTTTTTGTTGTGAGAAAATGTCTTGTTAAGTCACTTGTGATTCTTCTGCCTCAGCCTCCCAGAGTTCTGTGATTATAGGCCTACGGCACCATGGGTGGTGTATGGTTTGTTGACACTAAGTGCATTCACATTGCACAGCTATCACCACTCTCCAGCTACCTCCAGAACATTTTCACCTTTCCATGATGAAATTTCATACGCATTAAATACTAACTGTCCAACACCTGCTGTCCAGCCCTTGGTAATCGCCATTCTACTTTGTTTCTGTGGGTTTGACTATTCTCGGGACCTTATAGTGAAATTGTACAATACTGGTCATTTTGTGGCTTATTTTCATTTGGGTTAATGTTTGCAAGGTCCATCCATGTTATGGCATGTACCAGAATTCCAATCTTTTTTTTTTCTTGGTACCGGGGATCAAACTCGGGACTTTGTGCTTACTAGACAGGCGATGGAACCACTGAGCTAAATCCCTGGCTGAATTTCAGTCTTTTTAAAGGCAGGATAATATTTCACCAGATGTATATGCCATAATTTGATTATAATTCATCCATCAATGGACCTTTGTATTGCTTCTATCATTTGGCTATTGTGAATAACACTGCTAATATTTGTTCACTCAGTAATGAACATGAGTGAACAAATACCTGTCAGAGGCTCTGCTTTCAATTTTTTCATATATACATGGTACCTTGGTTCACAAACTTAATTTGTTCTAGGGTTTTCGAAAAGGTGGACATGTTTGTGTTTGTGTGTGAAAGACAGCCATGGTCGTGTTTGTCATCTGATGCAGTTTGTAAACAAAAACAAAATTTTGCCAAATGCTTCTGTTTGAGAACCAAATTATTTTCAAACAAAAGCATTTGTGAACCGAGGAACCACTGTATATCTGTACTTTCTTTCAAATATATACATATATTCTTTTAAATATCTATCTATATCATATCTATCTAGAAGTAGAATTTATCACATGGTAATTCCATTAATAACTTTTGGAGAACTGCTAGTCTATTTTCCATAGTGCATGTACCACCATTTCTGATCATATAGGTCCCCATTTCTCCACATCCTTGCCAGCACTTGTATTTTCTGATTTGTTTGATAATAGTCATCATAATGGATATGAAATGATATCTTATGGTCTTTATTTGTACTTATATTAGACACTGTATTCATTCATTTTCTGTGGTAACAAATTTCCCCAAGTTGAGTACCAAGAAAAGAGATGATCTAGCTCACAGTTTTAGAGGCTGAAGGTCCAAGACTGGGCAGCCCCATCTTCTTGGTCTCCAGTGAGAGACCCCGTGGCTGCATCACAACATGGTGGATAACATCATGCTGGGAAGCAGAAGAGTAGGAGCAGACACATCCTGGGACTGAGGCAATAGGGATTGAGGGGCCAGACCTGCTCTTTCCATAGGAACTCACTGTCGTGGAAACTAGACAGGGTCCCTCAAGAATATCAACCTCTCCCTAGGGTGAGGCCTCCAGTGACCCAACCACCTTGCACTGGGCCCTCCCCCTAAAGGTTCCACCCCCTAGGCACTGCCGTATTGGGCACATGGATCTTTGGGAAGAGTAGGACACACACAAACTATATCCAAACCATAGTAAAGGTTTTCATGTGAAGAAGGTGAGATCAGATTTGTAACTGGCCAGGCAAACTTAGGACTAGGAGTTCACAGAATGAGTGACACTTTGGTTTGGTGTCAAACTTGAATCATCTGCAAAACTGTATGACTGGATCATATAATCAATCTAACCGGGTGGGTGGTGGTGGTTAACTAGAGGTGGCTAATCTTTATTTGAGCCTGACAGAATGCTCCCAAAGCAGAGAAAACCCAGTACAGTCCTGAGCATCAACCTCATAAATAGAAGATGTGGCCCATAAAGGATATTAGATCCCTGGGTTCATGCAAGAGCTCCAGGTTAAAGACTTCTGATCCAGAAGTAAGAGCTGTACCAATTATATCCGTATTCACTGTAAGGACAGTGGTCTGTGTATGTCAAAACTACATTTGAAAATAAGCCAGCAGGGCCGGGGATGTAGCTCAGTGGTTCTGCCACCTGCCCCACAAGCACAAGGCCCGGAGTTCGATCCCCGGTACCAAAAAAAAAAAAAGAGAAGCCAGTAATGAAAGGACAAATATTGTGCAATCTACTTCTATGAGGTCCTTAGATAGTCAAACTCAGACAAGGTAGAATGGTGGGTTTAAGGGGCTGAGTAGAGAGGGGAAGAAAGAGGTAGTGTTTGGTGGGGATAGAGCTTCAGCTTTGCAAGATGAGAAAGTTCTGGAGATGCACAATTGTGATGACTGCACAACCATATGAATGTTCTTAATGTCACCGAACTATCTGCTTAGAAACAGTGAACGTAGTTGATTTCTGTTATGCATATTTTACCACACACACGCACATAACTGCATCCATCCTGAGAAATACTTTGATGCGCCACTCCTTCATCCTCTCCTCTGAAGGGGCTCAAGTCCCACTTAGAACAAATTCTAGTCTGTATTGGTTGTTATGGAGTCAAATATGCAGTAGCAACATGCTGGGGACCTGGAGCTGTAACCATGTCTGTTCTTCCCTGAAGGAAGAAGATACTGACATGCATATCCTCAGTCCAAAGCCAAGACTGTGAATGTATGAATTTCTTCAAGGGAAAATAGCAGAGGCTCCACAACTTCTAAACCCATAACCCAATGCTAAAGGATATGTCCTTTGAGAAGCAGCATCGCTATTTCTTAGTATATCACAAATGTAAGGTTTTAAAAACTTAATAAAATGTTGAGCACTTTCACCTCTTGTATGGTTTGAATCCCAAATGGCCCTCCAATGGCTCCTGTGCTAAATAGCAGCTTGGTTGTTTGTTGTTAGCCTGTGGCACCATTGAGAGGCATGGGACCTTTGGGAGGTGGAAGGAAGTTAGGCAGTCGGGGTTGTGCCCTTGAAGGGGATACTGGACCCATGGCATCTGTTCTTTTCTTTGTTTCCAAGCCACCATGAAATCAACACTTTTCACATACAAAGCCCTTCTGCCACAACATGCTGCCTCAACACAGGCCTGCAAGCAGCAGGGCCAAGAGACCATGGACTGAAACTTCTGAGCCAAAATGAATCTTTCCTCCTCCTAAACTGATTACCTCAGGCCTTTGTCACAGTGACAGAAAGCTAGCTAGCACACCTCTCTATTAAAAGTTCAGTTAAACCCTTATGTCTTAAAGCCACATGGCCTTCACCTCTGGAGAACATCTGGCTTGCTACCTTTCAGGATCTTAATGCAACATCTTCCGTGTCAAATGGTCTATAGTCATCTGCAACAGTTTAGACTTGAAAATATATCTCGGAGCCACAGGGGCAGTGAGATGGCTTATCTTTCTTTCCTCTGGCAATTAGCATCTTGACACTCTCCTTCAAAATAGCTTGAGTGTGATACTTTTTTATGCAATTATCAGTGGTTTAGGGCAATGCTTTTCTCAAATTTGAGGTTCATCCTCCAGGGAGTATGTTCTATAGGATTGTTCCCCAGTATAAGTGCAGGCTGAAAACTTACATTTCTTTCTTTTTAACTTTTTTCTTCTTTTGAGACAGGGTCCTAAGTTATTCAGGCTGGGTTCCAATTTGTGATCCTCTTGTCTCAGCCTCTTAGGATGCTGAGATTACAGGCAGGCACTACCGCACCCATTTTAGACCCTACATTTCTTTTTTTTTTTTGTACTGGGGATTGAACTCAGGTCCCTGTGTTTGCGAAGCAGGTGCCGGAACCACTGAGCTAAATCCCCGGCCTAGACCCTACCTTTCTAAGGTATTCCCAAGTGATGCTGATGCTGCAGGCCCAGCACTTTCAGCCACTGGTCTGACTGGAGGTGTGGCTCAGTGATACAGCCTTGCCTAGCAAGTGTGAGGCTCAAAGTTTAATCCTTTATACTGTCCACATCCCCCCAAAAGTTATTAAAGCCACTAGTTTAGGCAATGATTCAGAAACTATGCCCTGTAAGCCAAATTTGACCTACTGTCCATTTTGTAAATAAAGTTTTATTGAAACATAGCCATGGGGCCGGGGATTTAGCTCAGTGATTCCACCACTTGTGTCACAAGCGCAAGGTCCCGAGTTCGATCCCTGGTACCAAAGGAAAAAAAAAAAAGCAAAAAGGAAACATAGCCATGATCATTGGTTTAGATCTTGTCTCTGGATCACATCTCATTCTTACAGTGCCAGAATTGAGTAGACAAAGGCCATAAGGCCTGCAAGCCTGAACATATTTATTATTGGTTCTTCCCCCACTCCCCAGGACTAGGGATTGAACCCGGGGGCTTTGTTATATCCCCTAGCCATTTAAAAAAATTTTTAAATTCCAGACAGGGTCTTGCTAAATCACTAAGTTGCCCAACTAGGCCCAGCTTGTGGCCCCCCTGCCTGAGCCTTCCGAGAGCGCTGGGATTGTAGGTGTGTGCCACCACACGCAACTACTATCTGATTCTGTACAGAGAACATTGTCGGATTTGAAGTATATCCACCAATGTTCTTCCCTTTCCTGCTGGTTACTTAGGTGTTGCACCTCTCAGAAAGACCTAACTTGCAGGTAGCTACACTTGCAAGTAGTTAAACTAAACAATCTAACTGTTCAGATGGAATTATGGAGTCAGAGGTTCATATTTTAATCTCTTCCCCCAGTTGTCTCCTGTTGTCTGAAACAGAGACAAGAGTGTAGACAAGACAAGATCAGGGCTCCACTACCCCAATCTGCATAGGTCAAGTTCATTGAGAAATCAAATCTCTGGAACGTCTGTGGTGGACTTCTCTGAAACCGATTCTTGTTTATTTTTGCAGTTCTGGGATTGACCCCAAGGCCTTCACATGGAGCTACATTTGTAGCCCGCTCCCCCCCCGCACCCCCCCCGCCCTTTTTGAGACAAGGTCTGTCTAGGTTGCTGAATTCCCCAGGCTTGGAATTTACAATCTTCCTGTCTCAGTCTCCCAGAATGCTAGAATTACGGCCATGCACCACCATACCCAGCTCAATTCTCTTATTTTTGTGTCTCATTTTCCATCATTGTCTTTTACTTTCTGGGGTATTTCCACTTTTTCTTATCTCTCCTTCCAGGCTTTTCATTCCTGCAGCCACTTAAAATGAAGAATTTTCTTTATACAGATTTTCCTTCCAAACCTTCCTCTTTCATTAATGCAAGATCCTATCTCTGAAGCCATCAACTCTAGATTATTCATGCACTGATGATTCTTTAAGGGGAAGTTTGTGTTTGCTTTTAGTTTGATGTGCTCATGGCAAAGGGTTCCATCAAGTGCCTATTGTCCTTGCATCTCTATTCCTATTAGAAAGGTCCTCAGGCAGAGTGGAACTGTGGGAAGGCCTTGCCAATGATGGCCTTCTGTTGGATGACCATGCAGAAATCTGGCCATTTCAACAGGTGATCTCAGCTATCAGATCTGCCTATCTTGGGCTGAAGAATGTAGCTCAGTTTTAGAATGCTGCTTAGCACGCAGGAGGCTCTCTATCCTGAGCATGTACAAAAAGATCTGGAGATCTTTTCATTTTCTGGACATTTATTATTTGATCTGGGAGAGTTATCTTAACTTTCTTCCATTCTCTGGGCAGAGCACAGGAACAAGATCAGATTTTTAATGTTAAGTAAGTAAAACATGTAGTGTGATTTTTAAAAAGCATAGTAAATGTATACATTTTAAAAAATATTATAGGAAAAGACACATTGCTATGAATCCTCTTCAAAATACTCTTCTTCCCTTCTCACACACTTACCCCATCATTCTAGCTACTGTCTGAAGCAGTTCTGGAAGTCCTCCTTCATAAGTATCTTTAGTAGTAGTGTCATGGCTCCTTGATGTCCTGAATCGATTCAAAATGTTTCCTTTTCATGGCCTTTTTTGACTTTGAGGAAGAGCCAGAAGTTGCATGGTGCCAGATCTAGGGAATTAGGTGGCTGAGGAGATGTTGTAATGTTTTTATCTACAGAAATTACAGTAAACCTAAACTGTTAACTGCTTCAGAAAGTGGCAAGAATGATGGCATGAGTGTGTTCAAAGAAAGAGGGAAGATTTTGAGGGGGATTAATGGCCATGTGTCTTTTACTATAATAATTTTTAAAGATTTAAACATTCACCATATATATATATTTTTTGGGGGGGTTCCAGGGATCAAACTTGCGAGGCAGGCAGTAACCATATTTTTGACCACATCTCATGTTCATTTATTCTTTGCATTCAGTGTCACCCCTGGGGTGCAGTGTCTGCCAAGTTGAGAGTCATTACAGTCCACCATCCTAGGAGACCTCCAAGCTTTTACTCTGGGAGCTAAAACTACAATAAAATTAAGTTTTCAGATTACACTAATGGTCAGTATTACATTAACTGATGTCAAGTGCTAGATATGCTTTTAAGTCTGTAAAATAGTTGAGGGCCAGGATTCACCCCTCAGGTCTGGTGGAGCTCCTGCGCTCTCTCTCTCTCTCTCTGTGTGTGTGTGTGTGTGTGTGTGTGTGTACGTGAATGTAACCACATACACACATACAGAACCCCCTTTTGCTCTGCCGGAGACACTAACACTCTATCCCTGAACACCATCCAGGAATTTGGCAAAAATACAGAAATTTTACAATTCAACCAGCTCTCTCGGACAGGATATAACTATTAATGTTTTAAATAAGCTTTCCAGGAGTATTTGATATCATATATTTAGGACAAAACTTCTAAGTATTTATTATTTATTTATAGGCAGGGTCTCGCTGTGTAGTTCAGGCTGACCTTGAACTTACTATGTAGCCCAGGCTGGCCTTGAACTTGAAGCAATTCTCCTGCCTCAGCCCCCTGAGTGCTGGGATTACAGGTGTGCACCAACATACCTCATGGGACAAAACTTTTATATCAGATGAAATTCCTGCCCTCAAGTGGTTTACTTTCTGGTTTTAGCTGGCACACGCAAACACTGAAAAAAACCAAACCACCAAAACTCTAGTTATTTAAATCCAAAAGATGCATTCTGTCAAGACAGAAACATATACTATTTAAAATTTTAAATTAAAAATGTAAAGGGCCGGGGATTTAGCTCAGTGGTTCCACAGCCTACCGCAGAAGTACAAGGTCCCAAGTTCGATCCCTGGTACCCCCGCCCCCAAAAAAGTAAAAATATACTACATAAGTCTCAGCTACCTGGGAGCTGAATTAGGAGGATCGTTTGAGCGTAGGAGTTTGGGGCCAGTCTAGACAACATTGCAAGATCCCATCTCACAAAAACAAAAATAACACAAATACTATATAGATAATATATAAATATATACTATGTGTGCCTATATTATGAATACATGCTATGTATATTTATATATTATATATAACATTAAAATGAAAAATGATCCTGCCTCGCAAGCTGAGGACCCGAGTTCGACCCCCGGTACCAAAAAAAAAAAGATCCTATCATTCCAACACAACCATATTTATGCTTGCACTGTCCCTTCTAGTTTGAGTCTATATATACATATTTTTACACTTGATCATAGCCAAAAGGCCGAGGAGATGTAATACACACATAACTTTTAATCTCACTGGGATCATATTTTGTTTTTTTTAACATTTTTTTGTTGGTATGGGGGATTGAACTCGGGTCCTTGTGCTTGACAAGTCAGGTAGCAGAACAACTGAGCTAAATCCCTGGCCCAGCTGGGCCTTTTTTTTAAACATTTTAAAGCAACACTTTCTTCCCCCATTAGGAGCCTGAGGTTGAGTGACAGCAGAAGGCGAGCTGGTTCACAAAATCATGTCTGTGAGAGAAA